AGTAAAGCTCGGATTTTAATATATAGCTTATGCTATGTATATAGCTTATGCTATGTATTAAAAAATAACGTAGATATTAGTACAAGAATCTTGAAGTAATTAAAATGGTATTTTAATTTATTTTTATTTAATAAATATGTATAACCTGTTCTGAAAGTTGAGAAAATATGTTATGTAATTAGACTTAATCAGGTGCGCATATCATTTGCTAAATTATAATGAATAACTGCCACTAGAATTGTGCGTTGATGTAAAAACTTGCAGAAATCTTAGCAAGTGTTGTAAGAGTTAAAAGTAAAATGTTTAGAACAGTAAATGTATTTACATCAGAGATAGTTATTCTACTAAAGAAAATAAATGATATGTGTTTATGGTTTAATGCATACTAACATTTTTATTTTACGTATGTTTTCTAGATTGGAGAAGAAGACAAAGGATTTGCAGATAGCAGAGCGAAATGCAATGATACATGAAAAACGCAGTGATTTGCAATCGCGGGCAAAGAGCATGGAACTTATGAAGAAAGATCAAGATTCGAAGAAGGCAAGTGATCGATTGAAAGCATTGCTCGACACTTTGAAACATCAGGAGAAGGAGCAAATCGATTTTGCAAATGTTATCATATCACGTATCTTGTGCATATCGTGGAAAAGACCTATAGAGGGAAGAATATTTCTGCCACAAACGGCAGCGTATACGCAAACACAGAGACATCTGGACTTTAGCGATATTATCAATCAGGCATTGATGGAGATTTTGTGAGATGTTGATATTCTCGAGAGGGGAAGCTCCTTTGAAAAACATCACGGTTGACACATCATCCGATCGTGAGGACAGTCCGAATAGCCAAGCGAGTTCTTTGTTAAGTCCTGCTGTGGCTCCTTCATCTTATAAATTACCGATCATACCATTATTCATAGGCAATAGCTCATCACAACCGAAAAGTTTTATTTATTTATTAGATTGTTATTCAAGAATTGCGATTGAGGAAAGAAATCACAGAGAGGTACGTATATACACACACATATCTTCAAAATTAGACAAGATTTTATTAAACTAATTCTTATTTATATATTTTATAGCAATCCAGTATATCTCCTCTTTTCGATGTATTGACAATTTTGAGAGCACAATGTGTTCAGTCTTGTTCTACAAGGATTGGTTGGCATTTGCCAAGCTGCTGTCATACCTATATGCATCACTCATTTTCTCTATCGGATATTATCGCAGAACTTACCTCGGGGCTATCTTCGCGAGCATGTAGCTAGGACACACACAAATCCAAACATATTCAATAAAATTTTCACTCCAGTCTTGCAAGGCCTGTATCTCGCGATGCAGCGGGCGAGCTTGATCGGTAATACACATAGAAGACCGATCGAGGTGCTAGGCGAACTGATAGAGATTCGCTGTGGACTAAACGGCAATATACGTCCGATTTGCCATTTGATAACGAATTAAGTTCAATTCTTGCCTGATGTTATGACATCAGCAGCCGAAAGAGAGTTCACGAGAACTTCATTCCTGGGACCGTTTCTCTCGGTATTGATCTTTGCCGAAAAGCAACTGAAAGTGGCGGAGAAATTCTGCAGCGGAGATCCTGTCGCGAACATATCGATAAAACTCACGCTGCAGCAAGAGTTGGAGACTACTAGAACGTCATTGCACAAGATGTTAGATGCGATACTCGCGAATAACAGCTGCCGCGATGCCACTCTTGCGTACTTGGCGGCGTTGTTGCGTCACAACGAGAAATGCGCGCAAATACAAACGGAGGACAGTCCCTCCTTGGCCGGAGATGGATTTATGTTGAATCTACTATCGATTTTGCAAATGCTCTCTGTGAAGATCAAGCTGGATACTGTAGACCCGCTATATCCATTTCATCCTTCCAATTTCGTCGAGATAAAGAACGACACAAGACTGAAACTCACTTCGCAAGAAGTTGCGGAATGGCAGAAACATTTGGACAGCACACATAAATGGACGGAACCGAAGTTTCCGACACAATGTTGGTTTCTCACGCTGCATTGTCATCACATCGCACTGTTACCGGCGTTGCAAAACTATCGGAGAAAATTGCGTGCCTCAAAGGATTTACAAGAAATGCTCGACGAATTGCAAGCCACAGAACCCCAATGGAAAGATAGTCCTTTAGCGGAGCACAATAAAGATTTGATCAAACAATGGAAACAACAGTTGAAGCAACTGGTTAAATCCAAATTATATGCGGAGGCAGGTCTGATAGATCCCATTTTTTGGAGAAGATACTCAGACTTTTATATATCGGTCGCCGAATTTTTGCTGAGTCTTCTGACGCAGACTGCTCCGGGTAATCCTCTTCCCGAACTTCCGTTGCCTCAAGAAGTTACGTGCAAATTCACCGCACTACCGGAATGGTACGTAGAAGACATAGTGGAATTCTTGTTATTCGCATTCGAGTAAGCTTTTACTAAATTATCAAGTCTTACAATTGTACATAATGCTTATCTGGAGCTTATTAGTAATTATAACTGCATTGTTTTATTTGCAGATCCTGCCTAACATCGTTTAATGTGAATAAATCGTTTATCACTTTGTTACTCGTCATCGTGTGTACGCCACATTGTATACGAAATCCGCATCTAATCGCAAAAATCATCAAGGTTCTTTATGATATATATAGATCATATATAGATCAAGTAAAATTTTACAGAGATTGTATAGAGCCGAATATGATTTTGAGGAGAATGACTTTTTGGAAAAATAGTTTTGGCCATATATTCATGGCACATCCTATATCCAAGACATTTCTGGCGTCGTATCTCATGAAGTTTTATACCGACGTTGAGATCATTGACATTAGTTCCGAATTTGAGGATAAGTTTACAATATGTTATCACATAAATGTGATCTTAAATTCGTTGTGGCATAGCCCAATACATCGAGCGTCTATCGTCAATGACAGTAATAATGGCAAGCACTTCGTTAAGTTTATCAACATACTGATGAACCACACCACTTCCTTGCTCGAAGAGGCTCTGAAATATCTGAAGTATATACTCGAGGTGGAGGAACTTATGTCCGACACTATCGCGTGGAACGCTATTTCGCAGGAGCAACAACAATCAGTAACGAGGCAGCTGGCGGCGAACAAGGAACAAGCCAGATTTTCTCTTAAATTAGCCAAAGAGATAATTGCCATGTTTCATTATTTAATAGTCGATATTAAGGAACCGTTTCTACGACAGGAATTAGTCGAACGATTGTGTATCATGCTGAATTTCAATTTGCAAAAGTTGTGCGGACTTAAATATAAAAATTTGAGAGTGAGAAAATTGGAAAATACGGATGGCACCAAGGACGTTACTCGGTCAATTGATTGATATATATTTACATCTTGACTGTGATAAATTCGCGGCTGCTTTAGCCAATGACGAAGTGAGTATCGTTTATAATATATCATATATATTATCATGTATGTATGTGTATATATATATATATATATATATCATATAAGTTTATATAGCATATCAAATAACATATCTCTATAGGACATTTCCCATTATACAGACAATTAAATTGATTATACCTGGTTTAACGGTAATACGCGATAAGATTCATGACTTGTCTTTACCGTCCGATTATAACGTGCAACGCGCATATAAAAACGCTCACATTTGTCAGATTCTCTCTTGAAAAAAAAAAAGAGAAAGAGAAAAAGAAAGAGAGAAGAAGAGATAGCGAATTAAGTAAACAAAATAAAAATAAAGACAGATGCACATGCAAAAGAAAGCAGTCTTATTATCGTCTGCTATTATTGTATATATATATATATATATATATATATATATATATATATATATTTATTTATTTATTTATTTATTTATTTATTTATTTATTTTTGCAGCGTTCGTTTTGTAAAGAGTTATTCACCGACGTTGCGAGTAGACTAAAGAGATCTGCCATTAAAACTATGACGGAAATTGAGAGGTTCGTAGCTCTCGCTGACCGTGCGGCGGTAATCGCAAGACACAATCGCGCACATGACGACGCTCCTGAGGAATTTCGGGATCCATTGATGGACACTCTTATAGAGGATCCAGTCAAGCTACCGTCTGGTATTGTTATGGACAAAGCAGTTATCGTTAGACATTTACTCAACAGTGCCACGGATCCTTTCAATCGGGAGCCGCTTAGCGAAGATATGCTCATGCCAAGTAAGTACATGTATTGTTCATATTTCTCTTTTTTGATAAAGTCAAGTTTGTTTTAGTCTAAATATTGGTAACATTTCATAATAATGCATTTTCATACACATAAATATATTAGAAAAATATTTGATGCGTCAGATAATATAGTTTTTGACTGTTCTTTAAAGTCTATCGTATTGAAATTTTTTAATATCTTATGCCGATTTTAAAATATGTATATAAACTATTGTAAGTTTTTATCCATGTAGAAATGCATCTCAAATTAATGGTTATTTTCGAAATTGCAGTGCCCGACTTGAAAGAAAGAATATCAATAAGGAAAGAATATCAATATAAACAACAAAAGAAACAGTGCTAAGGTGACAAGAATTATGCACATAAAAATAAGAAAATAGGGAAGGAAAGAAAAAGAAAGAAAAAGTTAAGCATTATAAATGCTTATATGTATATGCATGTGTGTGTGTAAGCGCGCGCGCGCGTGTGTGTGTGTGTAAAATAATGTAACACAATAAACATACAGCAATATTATGTATAATAAAAATAATATTCACTTGTGCTCTCTCTCTCTTTTGAGGATTTTTGGCTGTATAATAGTAGTATGAAACTATCAAAATTAAAAAAAAAAACATTTCTTATGTTTATATTGTTTGGAAAATCAAATTAATAGATCTAGATAAAAAAAAGAATTGAAGTATCACAACATAATATGATTTTTAATGTCTTCATAGTTGTTGTAATTGATATTTTTCATAATTGACAAAAATTTTTGATCTTGAATACCTCGTAAAATTAATTTCAAGAAACGAAAAAAAAACTAGTAAAACAGGAAGATTTTGAGTTAGGTAAAAGTATTTTGCTACAATTTTTGCTAATTTCCCGGGTTAATGTGAATCCTGCACTGCTTACTCTACGTCCGGATCTAATACAGGCAGTTCATACTGAGAACTGGCTGCACTAGTTCACGAAGTTTGCACTAAAACGTTCTTTTTAGCTGAACCGTGCAAGAGAAAGCGTTCTTTTTAGCAGTACAACCTGAACTAGTACAGCGCCAGTTAGCAGGATTCACATTAACCCGCGAAATTTAAAATATTCATTGAATAAAGATTATGATAATGATTGTGATTTGTTACATATATATGTATGAAATATGTATAAGCAGCAATAGAATTTAACGAACCAATTGATATATCTGAAAAGCAACTACTTAGATGGTACAACGATTATATTCTCTTCTATATAATTTAATAATTCACCATTAGTAAGACATCGAGCCATGTCGTTTGTTATGTTGGCTATTGCATTATATAGTTCTTTTTATGTATATTCTTGCACTTGCTTACACTATCTTGAACTAGGTTTATTCGCGTTGCTTGAAATTTCCAAAAATGTTTGCACTAAAAACGAGATAAATATATATTCGGATGTTGAAGAGAGTGAAAGCGAAGATGCTGAGTACAAAAAGTTCAAGCAACGCGAACAAACCTACTGATTTGAATAGTGCAGTTCTATGGCAGCCCCAAGGTACCGATTATGTAACTTTTTCCCTAGGGCGGAAACATGGAAAGTGAAAAATATTAGCATTGAAATCAATGGCAAAATTTTTCACTTTTCCGCCCTAGGGGAAAAGTTACATGATTGATACCCTGGTCAGCTAAAAAGGACAAACCATTTATTATAGGTATGTGCAAAGAAACGTTCTTTCTTTAATTATGTAAGATATTACGCAATAAATACTCAAGTAAGCAGATGGTAAAAATAAAATGGCCACCGAAATCGTGTCTACACACCACATAACTATAATTACATATATAGGATCTCTTTTATATCCGTAGAGGATCTGTGTCCACTGTCTATCGATTCTTTTTACAAATGGTAATAAAGAACCATAGCGAAATTCAGTAACTTGCTATTGACGGTTTTCGGTATTGTTAACTAGCGATAGCCATAGCAACTTTCATAGGCTATCGCTCGCTAACGACAACGAAAATCGTCGCTAAGACGTTTAAAGAATCCTGCTACAGATTTCTCTTTCAGTAGGCCTATTCTCTAACTTTATCTAACGACGATGTTATATGATAGCGTAATGATAACGAATATGTCGTTAAAAAAGTTACAGAATATTTTACAGGGTTACAGGATATTTTATTTTAAACGATAAAATCATTTTTTCTTTGATCATAGATATGAATTGTAAACATAATATCAAAGCTGTTTGTAAGGATTTCGTGAAGGAAAGAGAAACAAAAGAAGAGAAAGCATATCTGCGAGAGAGAGAGAGAGAGATACGCATATTGATTCAAGTAATATTTTATTTAATCGACAAGTCTATAATACGAAAAATCTATAATAGATCGCGAGATTTTTATATTTCACGAAATCCAAAATTCTATGTTCAAATAACTTTTTAATAAAAGAAAATTTATTTTCTAATAAAAAAAGTAATAAATATTACACATATATGTATATGTATACACATTAAAAAATTTATTAAATATTATTTTATTTATTTATTTATTTATTTTTTGATAACGAATACAACATTATATCTATATATTATGCACTCCTTTACTTTATATTTTTATATACATATATAAAGATTATACTAATTGTAAGATCATTTATTTTCTTATACATCAGTGTACCTGATTGAGTTTATATATAAATTGCCAAATTATTTGGCATATTGACAGATATATATATATATATATATCTGTCAATATGCCAAATAATTTGGCAATTTATATATAAACTCAATCAGGTACACTGATGTATAAGAAAATAAATGATCTTACAATTAGTATAATCTTTATATATGTATATAAAAATATAAAGTAAAGGAGTGCATAATATTGTATATACAATATATATGCATTAATATGCAATAATAGCTATGATCTGATGAGGTATATCGATCCCTTCCTTTTAGGATCCCATGATCTGTGATACCGCCATTATCAGATGTTTGCTCTTTGTATACGATTAAAAGTAATCGATATTGCCGGCAGTATCGCTTTAAATGATATACATATATACTTGGCACATTATTTGCGAAGACTATCAGGGAAATTCGCCATGAAATTATATACTAAGCGCCGGCATAAAAGCACCTTGGAAGAAAATGGGTGAGTTACCCATTGAATGAAAACAGGGGCGTAACGACGAATTACGGGGCATCGGATAAAGTAATATAAATGCCATTTTGCTTGTGAAGCGAGGAGGGGAGAAACATCGGCGAGCAGATTATATAAAAATTTAACGATGGAACAGGAAAACACACTTGGGAAAGGAAAAGGTAAATATACGTAAAATATATGGTCGACTTATACAAATAGCCTTCGGAAGAAACCGTTGAACGAGGGGTTGAAATCGATGCGAGCGAGCGAGCGTGGGTGTTCCAGGGTATAGTCGTGATCTCGCGTTGTCCGATTGGCTGGCTGGTCTCCCACATGCGTCCCCTCCTTACCATAAGCCAGCGCCTCAGGTGAGATCTGCGGCTCGACGCGCGTACACGGCACAGGTGCGTTCACAGTGTGGTTGTGCACCCACTGTCACGCGCCAGCGGGGATAGAGTCTCTCCTTTTACGGGCGTAAGAAGAAAAAGGAAGTAGCGAGAGCACGAAGGGTGAGCGAATCAAGGGGAACAACTCGAGAGAGAGATTTAGCGAGCGGAAGAAAGAGGGAAACCTTGTTCGGAAAGATTCCAAAGAAAGGGCGAATCAAGTGGTGGGAGCGACCCCGCCGTGTATTTTCATCCCCCGCACGCATATAGATACACGTATACAACACAGCCGAAGCGGAGTCCTCTCGGGGCGAGGAACCTTGCACGAGCCACCCTCCCCGAGGAATTACAAACCTCGAACCTTGGTAGTGCACAGGTATCAGCGGACAAGCGAGCGAGGTGATTCTCGCAAGGTGAGGATACATCACCCTCTTTGTTCGCGTTTGTGAGGAAGAGCATAGGGTTTCTTGGAAAGAAGAGGTCCTGGTGAGAAAAGGGGAATTCAGAGGTACACGCGCAGGGACTCGTCGCAGCAACAAGAGGAGCGGAAGTCGCGTCGAGCACCCGTCGAGCATCCGCGAAGAGAGTATGGTACGGAGATTCTGCAACGGCGCGGTTGCACTTGGCATCGCCCTGACGGCCTGCGCCGCTTTTCCGCGCGCCGTCATGGCGATCGACCTCAGCCGCTTCTACGGCCACATCAACACGAAACGCTCGGGTAAGTAATCGTCAAGGAGATTGACGCGGGGAGCGAAAATGGGGGATGGTCACGGCGGCGATGGCATGCGGAAGCCATCGCAGACGCCGCAGACTTCGAGAAGGCACGAGGTCCGCGGGTCTTAGACGAGAACGCGAAAGAGAAAAATCGCGTGTATATAATCGTGCGAATACAAAATCGAATTGGTCGTTTAAAAAAAAGCATCGCTTTTTAAAATTTCCTTAAAATGTTTAAATAAAAACAAAATGCACTTGTACACATACACATTAGTTTTTTCAAGCTTATAACATCTATAAATCTTCTTTATCATGAAAAAATTTATACTTAAAATTTATAATTCCGTGTAAAAATGAACGAAAAATTTACATTTTGTATTCTGCAGATATTTTTGTCTATCTCTGTAAAGTTTATTTTACATAATACATATAATCGATATATCAGTATATATATGTGTGTTTTTTATACAATTTTGTTCTTCATCTTTTTATTATGAACGCGTCATAACAAATATCTACAGTATATATAAAATTACAAAAGAAATGATCAAATATTATCTCAAATTTATTAATTATTTTCCGATATTTTCATGCCAGCTGTTTTCTTTTCATTCGAATATCTTGTCATTAAAATCGTTTAAAATAGAAATTTCATCAAAATATTTTTCGGTCAATCCGACTTCATGATATGCTCTGCTTTATATATATATTTTTTAAGGGATACATATATCGGTATCTAACAAAGCTTTCTTAATCGCCGCAGTTTTCTAACATCCATTAGTATTAATTATCAATGATATACATACAGTCAAACAAATAATATAATAGTATCTTATAAATGTAAAGTAACTCGTAAATGTACCATATCTCTGTCCCGTCTGCGCAAATACGATATCTACTACTGTAACCGCAACAACAACTGTAACTCTACTAGAGCACGGGAAACTAATTTGTAGTGCGCGTGATTGCAAAATTCTCTAATTGGGGAAACAAGAAGGTCATTAAATGGATATATAAATCAGATAAGTTGAGTCAACAGGAAACTTATTAACGAATCTGTTTAATTTTTTTGCTCTTGTCGGGTTATATATGTATATAATTCACTTTTATCATTATTTAAATAATATACTTTGGCAACATAATTTGATGATATAATTTTCTTCGCGAAAATATTGAGGGGAATTATTTATAGCAAAGTTTAATTTTTAGCGTTATGTATCAATGTAACTATAAACCGTTCTAAATAAAAATTATGTAATTATATAAAGTTCACTTTAAAAAGTGAAATTAACCGAAAAAGATCATGTCAGAGATTACTTTGAAAAAATAAAATGGGGCAAAGGGATTAGAAACATATGTCATGTAGAAGCTTTAAGTTTACATACTTCACTGAATAAATATTTTATATCATGTCTACGCAGGGCGTTTATAGGGATACGAAATAGAGGAAGCTTCCAGAAAACAATACCGTCCCCTTTACGTTATCACGCTCCTCCTAACATCCATTAAAGTTAACGGGTGCGGAGGGCGCGATTATGACAGAGCTGTATTTCGCTGAAACTCTCGACCATGTGGGAGTGTGCTCTCCGGCGGATATAGTTATACGGTCGGTCAATAACGCGCGTACTTGGCGTACCGAGTCGTATATAGTCGCGTTTATACGCTGATGACATTTAAAAAAACGCATTTCTTTTTTTACTCAACTTACCCCTGTCATCCAGGGTCGGAATTGTCGCGAAGCGAGTCAAACGTGTCGGAATTCTGTTTTAATAAAGTCCTTATTTTTCATATTTATTTATATATTTCCGTCTTTTCCAATCTTTTGCAATTTTTAACTTGCGGGTATTCACCATTTGATTGGCAATCAAATGCAAAATGTTTTTTGAATCTTAAATTTAAATTGGAAAATAGCAATGTTTTTTATTATCGAGTTTCTCTCTTTATAGCAAATTTATTTTATTTAAAATAAAAGAGAGAGAGAGATTGAAAGCGAAAAAAAGAGAAATATAAAATAGATAAAATAAAGAGAAATTTCTCTATAAGAAAAATTGATAATAGAAAGATATATTATTTACAGACAATATTTAAGATATTTTTTTATATTTTTCGATCTTTTATTTATTTGTTAATAAAGTACGAAGTTGTAAATGAGAAAGCAAAATACAAATCATCTTTGAAAAATAAGTCTATAGGAATGCTTTCTTATCGAACGAAAAATTATACATAATTCATATCAAATGTTGAAAGTGAAGAAAAACATATAAGGTATCAATAAATGTATTTATTCAAATAAAATGCATCCAAGAAATAGGAATTCTAAGCGATGCGTTGATCGAAACATTCAAACTAAAAACTTTCTTGCATCGCGACAATCATTTTTTTTAATATTCCCTCGACGACCATCTCATTCGGAATGTATTAAGGTCGAGGTTCAATCCCATAGGAACAACGACTACTTCTATCCTCTCTGGGGAATCAACGCTTCTCGTTGATCGCTATAAAATTTATCTACAATATTCCTAACTCTTGTTAAAGTGCGCAGATGTCTCATCTAAACGCGTGAAAAGAATTGCATAGATACTCGCATAATTTAATAATAACATCTTTTAATCGGTATTGCCGCTTAAACGTTCAATATTTCAACAACAGTCCTTGATATGTTCGATACGCTAAAAAGTTTTTTGAACAATTCTTTTCTCGTTGATTAGGCGTAGGCGTTTTATGCAAACATTTGAGGAAAAAAACTCTTGCGATATATTTGCAGAGAGTAATTTAATAACGTTGATGGAGCACCACGTTGGTATTACGATTGGTTTAATACAATTTTTTTATGTGGTCGAGGAACATCGAATTAATGAAATACGATCAAAATTGATTGTAGGGGCTTTGTGGACATGACGTCATGTTTGTATTTGTAAATTGCGTTTCAGTGCGTTGAAATAAACGCGTGGGCGATCATATATATGTGTATATATAACAAATGTGGCATGATATTACACAATCGATCGTCAAGTAACTGCTGGAGATAGCAAACGTAATTTATATATATATTTTTTTTCATTATTGGAGCGGCGATTGAGATGAAGAATTATCTTCTCTTTTCCGAGAAATTTTTATTTGAAATAAAAATACAGATTGATGAAAACGAATATATGGATGTTAAAGGTTAAACGGCCGGATATTTACTTTGTTGAATAGGATGTACGTACATGCACACATACACGGACAGATAAAGAGGAAGCCTCAGGTAAAACGTTGAAATTATCAGAGATAGAAGCTCTTTTTCTCTCTCTTTTTCGCTGAATCTTTTATATAATACATGCGTACTTGTGACCTCCGCGAAGATAAAATAGTTTCCAAAAAAAAAATTAAAATCTTTTTCATTTTTCTAGAAGACATACGACAGTTTATTTTTGAAAAACTTTCACGAAATCCAACTTTACATTTCCTGAAAATGTTTCCTTGTTTCGAGTAAATAGAGAGAAATTAAAAATTAATTGCGCAAAAAAATTTTGATTAAGAAGGCTTGGGGCGAGAAGATTTGATCAGTTTCAAAATGTAAGAGTAAAGTTAATCGATCCTAATTCCTACAATTCTATCGGATTTCATGTTTCGTTTTAAATGATTTTTAAAAACTACAATGTTGCGTGAGTTATAACGCGATTGCGTGTCCCTCCAATCATCTCGAAAGCTTCTCGTGCAGAGGGGTGCCCGCGTATTTTGTGTTTAATTCCGTTTCAGATCCCTCGCTTAATCGTCGTAATTTAATCATCTCGCGACAATGATAAACATGTCGCGCCCCTTCTGAACTTTCATTTCCGTGAGGTAATTAAACCACCACGTGTAAGCACACATTTCTAATTTCGTCTCGGGTTTCGCTCGGAAAATGCGTACGTCAGATTTTTCTCTCCTCATTCAGGTTCAGACGTCTTTATTTGTATATCTTTCAGATGCTTGCCACCCGTACGAACCGTTCAAGTGCCCGGGCGATGGTATCTGCATTTCGATACAGTATTTGTGTGACGGCGCACCCGACTGTCAGGATGGATACGACGAGGACTCGAGATTGTGTACCGCAGGTGAGCGAGACAATTAATTTAATTAATAAACAATTCGCAGTTAAGTAATGATTAATCTAATTTAATTACACACATAGCAGAGTTAAATCTTTTGTGATTTAACTTTGTGATTTAAATAAATTATCTTGTGTCAATAATAGTATACAAGCAATACGTAATTTGACTTTTTTTTTATAGACATGTATATTCAATATTTTTTCACTCGTGTTTCGAGGTCTTTCCGCGTAGAATTACTATTAGTAGATTTGATCTAGATATCTATTATATTGCAAACAATATCAATGTATCATGTTATAAACATACCGCTCGGTATGGATGCACTCAATGATGTTCCGTGCAACTGCACCGAACATCATAATAAGGAGGGGGATCATCGCTGCACTTGTTCAGTGCGTTTACAACGGGTATTATTGTCGTACTTGTGCTTTTCTCTTTCTATCGAGAGGTCTCGTCAATATTGATTAATTGAAATATAATTGTTTCCTTGTCTCTTTTCAAAGATATGGAGAGAGAGAAAATTATATTAACTTTAATTATAATGTTTAGGAGAGCATGACACTCTCTGTGATTATTTTATTTTATGTTTTGCTTCTTTGTTGCAGCCAAACGACCACCCGTAGAAGAAACTGCGAGTTTTTTGCAGTCCCTGCTAGCAAGCCATGGCCCCAATTATCTGGAGAAGCTATTCGGAAACAAAGCGCGCGATACGCTGAAGCCTCTAGGTGGTGTGGAAAAAGTGGCCATCGCGCTGTCCGGTAAGTCTCACAATTAAATATATTAAGATACTAAATAAATAAGATAATAAGAATATTTTGCGATGTTAGACGCACATAAGGAAATAAGATATCAAACGATCCGACTTGTTCTTCAATTACGAATATAATTTAACGTAAAAATGATGAATTTAATACGCTTTCAATATACAAGAACTTCTTGAACATACACGTATGTCCAGAAAAATGTTTCTTCGTTTCTTTTATTATTATTTTATCCTTAAATTTGCTATCCGGTTTCGCAATCTGGTCTTTGACGATTTGTTTCGGCCGTCAGAATCACAGACGATCGAGGACTTTGGCGCGGCGCTGCACCTGATGCGCTCAGATCTCGAGCACCTGCGCTCAGTCTTCATGGCGGTGGAGAATGGCGACTTGGGTATGCTGAAATCGATCGGTATCAAGGACTCTGAACTGGGCGACGTCAAGTTCTTCCTCGAGAAACTCGTTAAAACGGGCTTTCTCGATTGAACGACAGTTACTCCCGCCGCCGTCGATGACGATGAATCGCCGTCGTCGTCGTCGCATCAGCAGATCCTTTGTTTGATGAAGCCTAAATCTGGTTCTTTTCGCGGACACCTCTTCCTTTCATCGCCAATTCTTGCGCACAGGATGTAGACCGTCACTTTTCTTTCTTCTCCTATTCCTCTCGCGAATCCTCTGCTCTTGCTTCAACGCGACGAACGCGATCATCGAGCACCGAAATAATCGTCGAGACGATCTGCGTGACGAACGATCAGGCAGGTCTTCGTTTCGCATATTTTATATGACCATTATATTTGGATAATTCTAATCTCGTACATGCGTATTGTCAATCTGTTTAGGAAAGAATACAATTATTAGAGGATATGGCTGATAATATATCGCATATGCTCATGGAGGGTTTATTATTATGATTTTTTTAGTAGCATCTATATATATCGTAATTTTACGCAAATCTACGTGAAAGTATCAGCACTGAAAAAACACATGCATTAGCTTATTTATAATCTGCAATCTAATATAGTATATATTTTTTCAATTTCAAACGAAACATCTCAAAATAAGTAACATGATGTGTAGCTTATTTTTATTTTACTCTGTACTTTCTTTTATATTATTAATCCTAAATAATATCACTAAAATTTTCGTGAATGTTTCGGCAGGATTCTTCTATAACGTTCATTCTCGCTTTTCTCATTGTTAGTATCGAACGTAATCTTTCTTCGTGTGAACATATAATGAGCTTTCAGTCGACCTATTTCTAAAATATTGAGCTTCCTCGTGTATCTTATAACTACTACACTATAACTGGTGCATATATGTGCTGCCGCGTGTCCCGGTTTTATTCAAGCTTTGTCTTCAATATTGCTAGCACACACGCCGTCTTACATAAGTGATGAATGGTCGACGACAATCGTTCGCAATCGGTAACGATGTAATCGTTCGACAGTTGTGCATTTAAATTACTTAAAATACACACAAGCCACGCTATATACAGATTTTCTTACAATTATTATTGAATTATTAATGCATTAGAGTAGAAATTTCTTGTTTAATTTCATTTATTATCTAATCTTCTTAAACTTAATAAGCCGCTTCTCAGAAACATTTTCGATTAGATTGCTATCTTCAAGTTCCACAGAAGAAACTTTACGAGAGGAAACTCGCGTAGGAAGTAATCGTGTTCAGATATGGCAAAGTAGTTTTTAATGAAAATTGTATTACTTTGTGGAAAGATCGTGCGGAATCGAATCCTTAACAGAATATAATGTACTGTTATGATAGTTTACTATAAATAATTTTATTTTTTTCGGAAATTGCACAACTATCGAATCTATTGTTACCGAAGTTACGCCTCTCGATGGCGAATTAGAGGCGGGGGCAGGGGAGAAGTCGCATGGAGACTTATATATTCTTAGTTAGTTATGCATATTGTAAAGAAACTGCACGCAACGATTATTATTCTCGTTATTCTCTCTTGAGATATCTTTCTAACGTACTTTTCAATCAAACGAACAATGCTGTGAATTTTCTGTTATATTAATTATAGAGTAGTATGTATTAAGAGATGATAGCTTTTATTCGAATTTAGACTATTACTGCTGGAACAGTATATTGATTTAAGTCGATGTTCTCTTCTCATGTCTATATTTTTTAACTTAGCTTCATTATCGCGAAAATCGCTTCTATTTGCGATAAGTTTCGCGACGCAACTTTACAACGTATTGAGTATACAAAAAGAAATAAAAATGTAGTATAGATAAATGTCATACCGAGAAACTCTTCGATTTATATTTTCACCGCATTTGATGAAATCTTTGCCTTGGTCAAGATGGCATTGGAGTGGAAGACGTAATGACGCAATAGTATTTAACGTTTAGCGTATTAAACGTGCGGTGAAAATATCATCTTTCGGATCTAAGGATCAGGTGCTCTTGATTTTTCTCGGTGCAATCGAACGTCACGCAGTCGTAATATAACATCACACGGCAATGTTAAATACATATGTGTTTTAAAGTTGAGAAAATGGGTACAAAAGAAGAAATATGGAGTATCGCGTCGCGTTCTTTCAGGGTATGACGCGTATTTTATTCACTATATAGGGAAAAAAGCAAGATATATATATATGTATATGTATATATATATACACACTCATATACATATATATGAAACGAATAGGTGGACTCATTAAATGTTCTTTATCCGTATACTGTTCGAGGATATCTTAATTAGATAGTTAACGAAGTATGTTAAAAGTTAAGGCTACGACGCTCATACAAAATAATTACGAAATACAACAACGTGAATGTACGTGGTATTATCGATGCAGTCAATATCCTGTTGCGGTCGTTTCGTTTTGGGATTTTGTCGGCACACACTCGCGATTCTCGTCAAATTATATAAATGTCGTCGTAACTGAGGAAATGAAAAATCTATCAATGTAGCGTGTATATTGTATTTACGTATAATCGATCGATTATTTATCCGCGATTTCTCGCTCGAATGAACGAATGGATCGCGGCTAAAACAGGAACGAATTAGACAAAAATTTGACGATATTTACGCAACGTACGCACTACTAGTCGATAAAAGTCTGTTCGATTTTCGTTAAGGCCTCTCTCACACATATGCATACACATACGTACATTACAGGATAATGCTTTTCGCGTTATCGGTCGCAAATATTCGCCCTCGTTTCTAGTATCGCCTCTAATTT